CAAAAAGATCATGCATATACATATACAAAAAGATCATGCATATACATATATGTATATGCATGATCTTTTTGGATGTGTCTCCCGGTTTCGTGTGACTCAGGGCTCCTGAATTTCCAGACTCCTCCGAATTTACGGATCTGCGACAGCAACTGCAAGGCCGTGAGAATTTCCAAGCCATAGATGCCTCAGTGCTGATTTGCCCAGTGAATCCTGATCAAGGGCACCAATCCCCGGAACCATCTTCCACCGGCGGTAGCTGCTTCGGCGAAATTCTGATGTGCCCACGATCATGTAGACCCGATCCAAACATAGGCTACGACAATGGCTTCTTTGCCAACTTACTGTAACCAAAAAAACTATATATATGCCATCTCACTCGTTGGATTGCTACAGCTTCCAACAGCCTAGCATTATGTCGGGCACGCCAGCCATAGATACAAGGAGCCAAAATAGTTTTATAAAGCAAAAACAAAGCAAAAAAAAAACAAAAGGCAAAGCAAACAAAAAAACAAGAAAATGTAGCTGTGCGTATTTGTCGTTTTTTTTCACTTTTTTTTCGCTTTATTTTCGCATATGTTTCGTTTTATTTTTATTTTTTATTTTTTTCGTTTTTTTGTTTTTTTTCCTAGGAGGGTACAGCAAAAACATATTTGTCTTTTTTTTTTTTTTTGTTTTTTGCTTTGTTTTCGCTTTGTTTTTGCATTTTCATTTGCTTTTATTTTGTTTTTTCATTTTTTTCACAAAAAATATTTGATGGTTGGCCACGTATGGCTGCCATCGCCCAACATAAGCCTAGCACCCTTAACATCCTGGCTCCGAGAGGGACTGAAGAGTCTTACCGGTCCTTTCTTTTTCGGTGTGTGGGATCATGTTCTTCAGTTTCTTTACCCTCGTCTATATTTGCCTTCTGCAGGTTGACACAAGCTATCTATCAGACCTTCTGAAGACAAATGTGGAACCCAACCGAGCCAAACCGTGTAGTGGTCCATCTCCATTGTGCAGCAGGTGTTCAGCTCGGGTAGCTTGCCCATGGGGATTCTGGATCAGCCCACCCTTCCCGCCACCCAAAAGCAATTATAGTATAAATGTATGCAGTATATATATATATATAGTGACAAACAAACTCTTAGAACATAATATAGTTCCAAGTGGTTGTCTACCACAATACATATATATATATATTATATATACTACAAGGTTGTCTAAACCTCCCGTCCTGCTGATCTGATATTTCCTTCATAGCTCCAGGTTTCTCGCTTACACCACCAGATTTGGTCAGCAACTGTCTCATCACTTGCAATGCAATGCCATGGTGCAAATCAGCAGGCCATAGTTCTGATCCATGGCCAGTCCAAGAAGACTCGTTTCTTACTTGAGCCCGAGCTCGCAATTGACGAACACTTCAGATTTGTAATTAATTGGCCTAGAGTGAAACCTGCCATGCCTCCCTGGAGGCCCATTCCATGTCTGCTGAGATCTGCAGATTGAGCCGTGTCCGGCTGTGCCCTGCCTGAGAGCTCTTCATGGCCCGCAGCAAGTCTAAAGATGTCGGCCACGCAGATAAGGCAGCCCCACTCATGCAAGTCATCGCGCTACTAAAGCCTGAGGCTGCCGCGGGGTCTGCGGTGTCGCGTGAATTTGATGGATCCCCCAAACCCCGTGATATAGTAGAAATGCCCTTTGTTACTAGCAGTTTCTTGTTACTACTAGTACGGCCAGGAGCTAGGTTCGTAGCATCCTTGCTCCGTTCGTAGAAATGCCCGTTGCTCCGTTCGTAGCTTCATGTGATTCCAAACCAGAACGCCCCAACTGAGTAAGTGAACTCGGTCTGTGCCTGTTTCGACCGGTTGGCTGCTCTGTGCAGCTCCGGCTTTCAGATCGGTCTGGACGGGGGCAACCTGGTTCACGGGCATCATCGCCCATTGGAATACGGTAGATGTCACGCCAAAGGCGGTTTCTAAATGTTTCTATGAGCCACAACCTCAACCACCGACACTGTGAGAGAAAACACGTCACACATGAACTGCTATGGTCTGACCATGATCGAATCCATGAACCACCCAGTCATTCTCCCCATCCAGACCCGTGCGCGCAGCTACTCCAAACGTTTGCTTCAATCTGAGCGGAATGCATCTCCGTCAGCAGCTGCAGGGTCATGGGCCAAGCATCCACCTCAGCTGCTCTGGGACGAAGAGAGGCGAGAGGTGTCCTTTCGCCAATTCCGGTCTCGGTCTGAGCAGCTCAACATGTCAGCATCATACATACACATGTAACGAGCAAAGCATATATACATTGTATAATTACATACATATTCATATTCATATATAATATACACATGTATTAATGCTCATATTGATGTATGCACTTTATATTTTTTTTGTCCGGCTCTTTTCGATCTGCAAGGACGAAGTTGGACTCATGCCAACATTTGTCGAAGGTCACCAAAGTGGTGGACTTGGCAAGGACCTCGAAGCTTGCTGGTGAGCTGAATCTCATTGTTCCTGAACTTGGCCTTCTCGTGGCATCGTTCACATTCGACCTGTTGGCTGCTTCTGGACATCTGATGGGAGGGATGTCCCAGCCACAGATGTGGCTCAAGAGGTCCATGGTGACACACTTCTCCCAAGAATCTGTTGAAAGATTCCTCTCCAGCTCTTGCAAGCACGTAGCTCCGGCACAGCGTACACCTGAGGTACGCTTTTTCCAGGCGTAGGTGGTGGGTGCCTGGTCTAGGATCTCCTTGACTGTCGATGAGATCATGGATGATCTCGAAGCGGGTCTTCTTGCCTCGTTTGACGGGCCCAAGCACGGAGCGCGCAGGCCCTCCTGTAGCTCCTTAAGCAAAGACTTGGTGTGGAACCTCTGACGGCAGAGGGAGCATTGCACTCCGGACCTGAATGGAGTCCATTGGTGCCCTGTGTCAGAGGCGTCCTGCAAGAAGCTGTTCAAGAGGGCACGCTTCTGCTGAACCAGGGGCACTTTGACCGGAGCTTCTGGAGAGGGTTTGGTGTGCAGGAAGTGGTCCTTGCAGCGAAGAAGGATGTCCATCCGGGCGCCTGCCACACTCAAAACATCTCGTGTGTCTTCGTCGATGTGCCGTTGGAGGTCCATGATATCATCTGGACGTGCCAGCAGGGCAGCTTGATCGGCCTTCGATTGCGTGTCCTTTTGGAAGGCTCGTCGATTGGGATTGGAGTCATCTCCTTGCGGTCAAAGAGGAGCAATCTCACTTGGTCGAAGTCTTCATGTTCCAGGCCCTGACTGAGATCAGGAAATCTCTCATGTGCTGCCATGAAAGCCCAGCTCTTCCAAATGCTGTGCTGGAAGACCACGACATGGACTTTGTCCCTGATGTGTAGGGATAGGTGTTTCAGTCCGTAACCTCGTGGCCTTGCCCGGACAGATGCCCGTGAAGGAGCCGACCCTCTCTTTGGTGAAGACATGGTGTATGCAAATAGCAAAGGCAAAACGTTGGTGTCGGCGCCGCTGCCAAAGAGACAGCGTGGCCCGAAGGCAAATTGCAGGTCTCCATGTTGGCCCACAAGCCTTCGCCGTTGAAGGTGGCCATGCCCCCATCCGGGATGTAGAAGATGGACTGGGTCATTCCACGGTTCCAGAGCTCTGGTTCAGAGTTGGCGTGAATGCGCTCTCTCCATTGATCCGGAAGTGGTCGAACACGGCCTTCCCAAAAGCTGCACTCCTTCAAAGAAGGTGAGTGAAGGTGAGATCGACATCACAGAGCGGGCACTTGCCATCTTGTCCGTGCAAGGTGCCTGCCTGTGGCAATCCTGTCCGAGGTGGTCTTCTGCAGGGTTTTGCTGACTGTCCAATCGAGCTTCCTCTCGATGTCTTGGCAGCCAGTGTATCTGGTCAAGCGCAAAAGGCGTTGCCACTGGAATTCCTCAATCAGCTTGTGCTGTATCTCAGGCCAGAGGGCTTCAAGGCTGATGATGCAGTCCGGGATGCCACCATAGCCAACCCGCTTCCACTCCTTGCCATTGGAGATGTCAAAGTCATAGTCTAGCAGATAGGCTTGTAAAGCTTGAAGCGGGCCAGTGACAACCTGCCAACGATACTTGGCCTTCTGAAGCTGATCAAGAGCGCCGTTCCAGCTGATCCAGAAGAGGTGTTGGGCACTTGCATCAAAGGAATGGAGGACCCTCCAGACCGTGTGGATGTGCTGAAGGATGATAGAGTCCCCAGGGTCACTCTTGTCCTGATGCATATCAAAGACCACATCTACTGATCCCGTGCGCTGCAAGCCCAAGCCTCTGGCGGCCATGACCCGAAGTTGTTGCCGTCTTTGTGGAGCTAATCCGTTGGCTTGAGCCCCCCAACTCATCACCGGATGGACTGCTCCACGATGTAGCCTGTACTTGATGGCCGTGCCCAGTTTGAGGCGCATCATGATGCCTGCTCGTCCTCTCCCCTTAAGGAACCGCTTCTTGATCTGGGTGACCCGTCACCGTTTGGTATTGGTGGCATCGATGCCCAGGTCTCGGAGGACATTGTGGTGTTGTGGATCTCCAGGTTGCAGCAAGGCATCTAAGGCTTTGGCAGCTTCTTTGCTGCTGGTGAGGAAGCCGGTCTTGTCCGTGTTCAGCTTCAAGCCCGCTTCATTGAGATGACGTTGCAAGGTGCGGAAGGCCATCACAGCTTCTCTGGCAGCATAGTCAGGGTCTGTGCCTTTGATGTTGAAGGACACGTCGTCGACCCAAGTCTGGAGCAGCACAGCAGGATGCTCTGCTACCAAAGAGCGGAGAGGTTTGAAGAGCACCAGTTTGGCTATGGCATATGGCAGGTGCTTGAGGGCAGCCCTGCAGGATCCCATTCTGATAGTACTTGGGATGACCAGCAATGCCTTCAGCTTGAATCAACCTTGGGCCCGTGTAAAGGTCGAGGGCCAGCTTGAGGTGGAGGGGAGGGTACTCAAGCTCCCTTGCAGGCTCAATGAGGTGATCGAGCTGGACCGTGTCGTAGAAACAAGTCAGGTCCGCAAGGCAGGTGACAGTGTGGATGCCCTGGTGCTTGCCAATCTCTGCTTTGAGCATGCGACCAACTGCAATGGACAGGCAGTCTTTGTGTGGCCGAGCGTGATCCCACGGCATGTCTGTGTCCAGACCAAGCTGCCATTTCTGAAGGTCATACTTGCGGTAAGAGTTCCATAGCCTGTAGAGACACGATGTCAAAGCAATGGGTCGTTCAATGCGCTCGCTTTTGGGAATCATCACAATGTTGGTGTGCCTCATCTGCAAAGGTAACTCAGCTTCTTGTTCATCTCAGTGAGGAGCTGAGCCAGGCGTTCGACTGCTGGATATGGCAAATGCCGTAGGAAGTCATAGGAGATGCCATCTGGACCGGCCGCCTTGTTGGGAAGTTTCCTCATGATCTTCTGCAGCAAGCTGGAGTCGATGGCTTTGTGTTGAAGAGCGTGAGCTTGGGCTTCACGGCGGAGGTCGGCCAGGCCTCTGATCTGGAGAGGTCCTTCTAAGGTTTCCATATTGCCCCCCACTGTTGCTCTCTGGCCTCAGTGCGCATGGAGGGAGGGAGACTTTGGAAAGGCCGCTGCCAAGCATGGTCCTTTTGACGAAGGCTGCGGAAGAGACCGCGGAGACCTTTGTCGTGGGCTTTCTCCAACCATTCCCTGAACTCATGATTGGTGGCACTCAACATCTGCTGTTGAGCAAGATCTTGTTCATGTTGGATGATCTGCTGAATGCTGGAGGGAAGTTGGGTGCCCCCGAAAATCCATTTGAGCAGCTGTTCCTCCAGGTGGTTTTGATCCAGCTCCAAGGAGGCATGCTGAGGGATGCGTTTGATCATGTCCTTGAGGTCCTCTAAAATGCCTGGATAACGCCCATGGCAGGCCAGGTTGAGGCGGATGCCCATCTTCTCCCAGAAAGCCGCACTGCCCTTCTTCCAGACTCTAGGTTTGGAGGAACTGGCCAAGGGAGCCGTGTAGAGCTTGACTTGGGACCCTCGGCCAGCAACCGGTTTGTGGAGGTGCTGCGTGAGGTATTTCTCGATGCCCATCGAGCAAGGTCTGAGCCCAAGCCCGTGATGGTCTGTCCCAACATCATGAAGGGGCCGTCATCCTCCGCGTAACTGGTCCAAAGATGCTCAGGGCTGTAGTTCCTGGAGATGGGAGGAAACCGCTGAAGCTGCAACACAGGGAGAGCAGCATGTGCACAGTCCATCTGAAGGGCGAGGGCACAATGAGGTTTCCAGGCGCTTCCCAGTTGGCTTCGAGCCTGAGGGAGCCAGCAATGGCCGTGGAGGCGAGAATGAAATCCAGGTGGCTGCCCTGCAACGTAGTGGGACCCGAAGTGGCAATGATCTGCGCCTTGAACTTGCTCGGAATGGTGGTGGCGGCCAGGTCAGCTGGTGCATTTTGCCAGTCGCCTCCAATAATGAAGGGCGCTTGAAGGTGATAGCATGATGGTGTCTCCCTGGCCCCAGACCCAATCCTGAACTTTCTTGCCAAAGGAGGTGACATTGCTGAAGGAGATGTGAAGGGTTTCCTGGCATCACCTGAGTCGTTTGGCCTCTGTGCCAGTAAGCTCCATGGCTGTGTCAGTGACCATGGCGTCAGTGGGGGCCAAGGTCAACCACACCTGTGATATCTCCGCTTGTTGCTGCGGGGTCAGTTTGGCCAGAGGGACCGGGTAGACGTTGTCATCAGCCAACCAATAGACATTGTTGAGCGCCAAAATGGCTTGGTAATGTCCATTTTCATGGGTGGCTCCCTGGTGCAGAACGAGTCCAACTACCTGATAGGTGGCATAGTGGACATTCTCCCCGTCCTCCGAGAATGGGATGTGGACGTTGGTCTGGATCGTCAGCTCACTGTGGTGCTTGGTCCAGGTGCCTTCAAGGAGAGCTGATCTCTGCAGGTTCAAGACCAGCCCGCCCGGTGAGCCATAGAGGAATTGACCTCTTCCTTCATCAGCCCAGAGATTGATCAAGGTGTCCAGTGTGGTCGGACCTTGACTCTCGGGGAACAGGATGTTGAGAGGGAATTGCTCCCGCTCCTCCGTGTGGCCTCGTTCACTGCGGTGAAAGAACCAGCCAGCAAAGAAAGTGCTTCTGGAGTAGGCCCAGACAGCTTGTAAGAAATCAGCAGCATCTGCTTGGTCTTCATGACCGAATTGGGGCCATATGGAGGACATGTCTTGCATGTCAGAGAGAAGTTGCGGTTCACCGCTGGCCAGGCATTGGCGGGCGGCAGCTTGAGTGCGTCCCCAGGCCTGAATCATGTCATCTGCATAGGCCCCGTCCAGCACCAGCACCTCTGGCATAGCACAGGTTCCTGGGGTTTTGCAGGATCGTGGTCAAGCACTGAGAGATGATGAAGATGTTTGAAACATTGTGGTCTCCATCTCCTTGGACACTGAGGTGTCTCTGGACGACATTTTGCATGAGGAGCTGTTGGCCTCCTTGAGAAGTGGGATTGCGGCCATAGCTCTGGCAAGTGCGGATCCTATCCTTGCTGCAAAGGTCAAAAAGACCTCGTTGTTCAAAAGTCAAAACATCCTCATCGTCCATGATGAGAATCTGGGCCAAGGACGTGACAGCTGAGGTCCCGTATCTAACAGTCTCCCGTGGGAGCTGTTCAGAGGTAGAAGAGCACGGTGCCTCAGCTGCCGGTCGTAGATGGCCTGGGTCGCCTGCAGGCGCCCCCCCCAAGACCTTGAGCTTCGTCAAGGAAAGTCGTTGAGGCCCATAGCCGCCCGAGGAAGAAGAGCGGCCCGTGCTTGAGCCTGAAAAGTCAGTGAAGTCAACCATGAATGCATTTCCCCTGCAAGATGGCTGACTGAGTCCCCGGTCATGAACTGAAAGGCATGACTGCGTTCCCAAAGAGTCAGATGAGGCCTGGATAGGAGGCCTCGAGACTGGCGTGCTACCCACACGATCCGTTTGACATCAACTCCGTCTTGCGTCGTTTTGCTTCTTCATCCATGGCTGCTGCATCTGCCGGAGGACGTTTCAACATGACGCTCAGTTGATCCTTTTGCTCTTGGCTCAAGTTGACTCCAAGGGTCGAAATGAACCCTGCTACTGCCTCCGGCATAGAGTCTGGCATCTCAGTGTCGAGAGGCTGCAAGGCTCCTGTGCCTTGGGAGGAGCTAACTTTGGTCAGATAGGCCGTGCTGACGTTCGTGAGGGTAGACTGTTCCTGCTCTAGTCGGCTCTGCAGAGACTTCATCTCATCAAGAAGTTCTTGGTAGAGTTTCTTTGTGTTGTCAAATCTTCTGCTGCAGAGCTTGCTTCTTGAGTGACAAATCTCGCAAGGTCGTCACTTGTTGTTTGAGCCTCGAAGCCATGTCCTTCTCAGTCTCTGGCTGCGGTTTGGTCAGACGTTCCACAAGTTCTTTCACTGGGGCTGGAAGGCTAGCCATGTTCTCTTTGAGAACTGATTGAAGATCCGGTTCATCGACCTTGGGTGAAGGGTCAATGCCAAGCTGAATCAGCTTGGAGCGCATGCCTTCATCCAATGATGACCACGCAGGGGCCAGGATGTCAGCAGCCGACTGTTCAAGTTTGGCCGGGCGTGGTGCCTTGCTGACCGGGAGACCTGGCGGAGGTGTCACTCGTCTGCGAGTGTTCTTCCATGAAGCTGGTGGTTTGGCTGTGGCTTTGGCGAATCCTTGTGCCGGCTGTTGCCATGGAGTGGAGCACTTCCGGCAAACATAGTGAGGTTGAATTCGATCTTCCCAGATCCAATTGCCACAATCCTTGGAGCTGCAGCCTTGGTAAGCGCGAAAGGATGGCCAGCCCATGATGAGGATCTGCCAGGGCACCGTAGAGGTAGTCAAGGGCGGTCTCCTGGTCCTCGCAAAGTGTGAGCGTAGGTCCAGTGCCGTAGAGCTCCAAAGGGCCCTGTGCCCGAGCTTGAGCAGGAAACTTGAGCCTATGCACTTTATATTTGTAAATGAATATATATATATATACAGCAATTTGATTGATTAATCGGTAGATAAGAACCAAACATATCTGACAGTGCAAATCTCTCACGAAGATGTGTGAGACGGGCGCTTCACCACCGGGCGGCGCGCTGGCACGCATGCTGGCGCCAAGGCACACAGGAGGTGATGGCCGTGCTGAATGTCACCACATCAGCTTGAAGCCCAAAGTCATCAAAGTTCTGCAGGATGGCATTTGCCACAGGCCAGCGGTTTCCCTGGCCAGATTGGCCAAAGAGTATGTCATAGCATGTCTACAGGTTGTGAAGGCAAGGATTGGCTTTAGGCAGCAGGCGGGAACTCGCTCAAATCAAATCCTCCATCCTGCAGGGTCAACAGGTGACTCGTGACCTTACCCAAAAACAAACTATGATGCCATGCATTGCCTTAAATGCACGCAACGCAGCATTGCAGGCCACCAGGTCAGGGGACATGCGTCTGCAAAGCTCTTCAAAGATCCGCAAGGTAAGCTGCCAAAAGCCTGGAGCACTACGCAAACCTACTCACACCCATGGGAGGTAGGTCTTGAGTTGGCATGTCCACCAGATTCGTTCCCCACGAGCTGCGGAACGCATTTACATACTGTACCAATCAAGCAAAAACTATCAAAAACTCTTCTTCGGGAGTTTGCGGGTGCTACTGAATGACTCAAGCCTGTCTTTGAATGAGTGGATGATCATTTGTTTAATATCTATTGTATGTTATTTCATGTCTATTTATGCACTCTTTTGTGCACACTAATTGTTCCAATGGTTTTCTGCACTACCAATAGGTGATTTGTTTCGGTTGGTCCTCAGCGGTACATCCTTGCCAAATCAAAACTATTTTTCGTCACTTGTGTCCACAAGTCCCATGTTTTGTTCCCTGTCCGCAGGTCTGGACCAAGGGGGTGGTCTGGGGTCGGCTCAGGTCTGTCCCTTCTGGGGTCGAAAGGACCACCACTGACCGCCCCGGAATCGCAGGACGGGTGACGAGCTGGTTCATCTTAGCAACCCACTGCGAGCGACCCGACGTGGCCAAGTGGTTCATGGTTCGACAGATTTCCCCAGAAATGACGTAAGAGCAAGCCACCAGCTTTGGCGCAAGCACTGATGACACCGCCGTAAACGATGATATCTGGCTGAAGTTGCTTCTCCTCAAGGGCCTCAAAAAGGAACAAAAGAAACAACGTCTCCCTCCCCAAAGCCCTGAACACCACCACGTCCCCAACTGGCACCGCTTCAGTGTCGGAAGCGGGGGCGAGCGTTCTTGTTTAAACTCCTCGTTTGGTGAGTGGACGTCGTCCACTTGGTGCGCCGATGGGTTCTTGACTCCGAGTCATGGTGAGAACGAGGAACCTACCAAAGTGGTAAGCAGTGCCATGTTGATCTTTGTTGTCCGCTTCACCTTGTTTGACAGCCTGGTGGTTGTGCAAAGAAATTGCCATGAGCTTGACTCCCAGTAGCAACACCTCAGCTAGGCTTTCTAGGCATGTTCAGCAAAGGGCGATCATCCGGCCTTGAAGCACGCCAATGCAGCTGCCCATTCGCTTGCAACCTCACATGCATTGATGGCGCTGTTGCAGCTGATGAGATCAGGAGTCACCTGGAACGATCCGGCCACGAGGCAGGGAACCACGTCTCCGTCTTCACGATCCCGAACCAAAGAATGGTCTGGTGATTTCGAACCATTTTCCTCTACCATCCAGTGGTTTTGGGGCTTCATCATGTGGTTTAGTGGGGAGTAGCTCACCCGAAGGCAGGTGACCTCCGGGGAGGTGACCTGGAAAACGGCAGACCGCTCACGAGCTCCGGCATGGAGCTCTTGTGCACCTTGATTTTTGTGAGAAGAATTAGGAACAAGAAAATACTAGGAACAAAGGGCAGCGCTACTAGGAGCAAGAAGCTGCTAGCAGCTCCTGGCATTGCCACTAGGAACAAGAAGCTACTAGGAACAAAGGGCATCTTCAGAAGAACCTTAGGAAGTTTAAGAACCTATTCAATTGATACATGGATCTATCAATTGCACCCCAACAGCTGGACATCAAGTTGAAGTGGGGGTCTCACAACTGGTTCTACAGCAGCAGCCTCTTTGGCTAACAACGATCCGAAACTGCTCCGGCAACAGCATTTTGATGCATGTTGGGTACCAGTATGCTAGTACCAACCTAAATATCTCTACAGTACCTGATCGCCTTTCATCCTTAGTCTTGGACCCCTCCTGTACGGCGGGCATCTGGCAAAGCAAGTCCACAGCGAGCTGCCAATGACCTCCCTTGGCACAAGCGCTGATCACCTGACGAAACAGTTGACCCTTATGACCAGCACACCCTGCATCGCATGTCTAGAGTCCCCGAGGCTTGCCCGGCGTGGAATCTTTCGAAAGGCTGTCGATCAACCCATTGTGTTTGATTTCGCCGGAAGACTCCCCGTTGAATGCTGCCCAACTTGCTTCCCATATACATCCACATACTATATAACTATGCCATACATGTTCGACAACCCGGAGCAACCCTGAATGAGAAAACAACACATGGAGTGGAGCAGGCTTGCTGGAAGCTCGGATGCCAGTTCTTCTGAAACCATAACGATATTGGCTTTCAAACGTCCAAACCCATATGGTCCTGAGGGGCTACGACATGTTCTGAACCCCAAAACTTACTCCCGCCATAGGCAGTCCGAATTCTAAAAACTGTCGGTCCCAGGTGAATCATGCACCACTTGTCTCAGACTTGATTAATTAGGCAAGTTTCTTGAACCATGGAATGGTCAGAAAGGATTTCGAGGTTCAAACCATCTCCAAATCCATGGCCTACATAAAACCGACATGCGCGGTCATAACTGCGGTCATTTGTTTCACGGTCACGCTGTGTAGGAGTCTGGAACATGACCAGCATGACCAGCACAAAGTGGCTAGCTACCATCACAAAGAGCTCCAACATGCCCAAACCATCCCAGAAATAAATGACACATGTGTATACATATGTCACATGTCAACAAACTGTCGCAGTGCTCGGCATTTCTTGTTGAAGCCGTATAATAACAACGTCGTCTAATTTCAAATTTACAGATTCCACGAAAGCATTCAACAGCAGCAAGCAATCAAATCCCGAGCAATCAGTTTTTGTCTCACGATTTTGGCTGCCTTTTGATCAAGGCACCATGTTGCAGGTGATGTCATTCGGGAGTGCTTTGCCACGCCGCATCTGTGCCAAAAGGTACACCGCCTCTTGCCATTTGCCTTCCTGCTCCATTGGCATGTGAAGGTGCCAAGAATGAGCTCGGCTCTACCCAAACTCATGAGACTTTGGACTTGTCTAGGTGAAAAAACACAACTCCTAGAAATTTCATGCCTGACTACAGCTCTGCCATGTACATCCTCTTTCTCCTAAGCACTGCTGTCACTTCCAGCTTCATGCCACCCACCCCTCCGGATGCCCGGACCCTGCGGCACCGGGAGATTCGCTGGCTAAAGCCCACACTGATGGCCTCGCCAAAGGACATGAGTCCCGGAAGGTTTGCGCGATTTGGCTTCCAAGACCCGGAAGAGTTAGTTTCTTCTTTCTCTTACGAACACTTGCAAACTAATTCTAACGACTATGTTCCACCAAGCCACGTTTCTTGATCCGGCAAGCCATTCTAAGGGCTACATGCAGGTCAACATGCGAGCCCAGGGGTCAACAATTTGTGCCATCATCACCATCATCATCATCATCAGCATCATCATCATCATCATCATCATCACCCCACCATCACCATCATCACCACCACCATCACCATCACCATCACCACCACCATCACCATCATCATCATCACCATCACCACCATCATCACCATCATCTCCATCATCATCATCGTCGTCGTCATCGATATCGACATCGTCACCAGCACCATCAGCATCATCATCATCATCATCATCATCATTCATAGGACTCAGTGAATTCCATGGAATTCCAGGTCTTTTTCCCCAACCGAAGCTAGCGCCCTTCCGGCTTCGTCTGCGGCTTCGTCCACTCGGTTTCACACCGCCAAAGGCGCTTGGGAGACGTCGGCCGCGGGTTTCGCAAGGGCCGCGCGCGCCATGGAAGGCAAGCAAAGGTCCTGGAGATTGGCGACGTCGGCAAGGAGCCAAAAGGGATATTCCTCCGATCTACCTTGAATCTCCAAAGAACCTTTTTTCTGCGTTTTTGCTTTGGGTCTACTGTAATATTTTTTTACGTTTTTGCTCGAAAAACACGTTTTCAGAGATGAGGTACAGAGTGAATCTTCATCCGGACGCGTCCGGTGCGGACGCTTAAAGACGCCTTTTGGACGCAAAAAGATGCGTTTTGGATGCCGAAAAAAGGTCTCAGGACACTGTCTATGGAGGATCTGACAGGGCACAAACAACAAGAAGGAACATTTCGTGACATATGAAGAGCCGCAGTGGTCTCTTTAATGGACCATTTGTCACTGACATATGCCAAAAAAAGCAGTGTTTTCTTTCGGAAACATCTTTTTCTTGGAAAGGCGAATTTAGAAGGATCATTGGAGACTCAAGGTACGCGCGTTTTTGCATAGATCAGTTGGTTTCACATCCAATCGCGGGGCTTGAGCACCATGTTCATAATACGCCGACCTGACGCATTCATACAGCCGAAGCACCGGAGCGGACCCGAGCGGTCGCTTTTGGGCCAAGGCCCGGCGCTGCAGTTAAAGGGCTAAAGGCTCCATTCACAAAAGCAGCACCAAGCGGTTTCCAGGTTCGTCTGTCTTCCTCTTAGCACCCATTGGACCACATCATCCGAATTGGAACTCGGATGAAGTATATGCGTTGACCGAAAAGCCTCATAGTGATGATATGTTGTCATGATAGAGGGTGCCGTTGGCATCAATATTTTCCCAAAACATCCAAGGACTCAAAACATCTCAACACATTCCAAGCTTATCATGAATCCTGACAAAGCTAAGGAGGCTCCAAGAACCTGCGGTTCCGTCCTCCCAGCACTGGGAGTTTGGCAGGCACGCCCAGCTGCAAAGCGTCTGAGAGGCCTTGGTGGGCCGTGCCTTGGGTCGATCACCACATGGGTCGAAGACATCATTCGACATAATGGACGGATCGACCTGCAAAGACTTTCTCAAAGGGACGGGAAAGGCACCACTGGCACCGGTGCGAAGCTTTATACTCAAGCCCCCTGCACTCTGCTCAACAAAACAGGGTTTGTCGGATCTTCAAAAACCATTAAAAAACAACATCTTTCCCCCCCACCTATCGATTGCCAAGGGGGACACAAAACTGGCCATGCACGAAAGCACTGACAGGACATCTGCATTTTTCCTCACTGCATTTCAGTGTTCGATGTCTCTGACTTTTGTAGGAGATTTCTCTTCTCCGATGCACGCGGTGCCAGCTCGTCCCGGGGCTCACGATGCAAGATGCGTGACAGGACATAGGTCTTCCAGGGCCCTAAGCGGTAGCCCAAAGGTTGCACCCGCACAACATCACCCACCATGCACTCAGAATGCTCGTCGTGAGCCCAAACCTTTTTGGTGAAGCGGAAGGCTTTCTTGTACCGCATCACCCACATATAGCGATCACAGGCCACGCGAATGGACTTGGGATGCTTATCATTGATCACATAGCCAATCATCTCATTGTTCGGCAACTTGTTGTTCTTCTCAAACGTCCTTAAATATCCCGCCGTCTGCCTTTGCCAGTACTTGTAGTGCCACGCACGCCTCACCGTCGAGAGCCACATGGCGGGATCGATCCCCGGCGGATCGCGTTCGCTCCGTCTTTGAGCCGTGGCGTCGCTCCGGTGACCGTGGATCCGGGTGGCGTTGTTGCCATCTCCACTCGCACATGCCTTAACTAATGTATAATAGGACATGCATAGGACATGTATATGGTAGTTATGCATCCTCAGATTCGACCTGGTGGGCGGATGCCACAATTAGGACCGGTCCGCCACCATCCTAACGGTCCTAAGAGGTGAGGTGAGGCGAACTGAAGCCGTTACCTCTGACCATGAGTTGCTCAAAGCAATTCAGTGAAAATGAGGGGGCTGTTCAGCTCATCACTGATATCTGGGACTTGCCAGTGCATGCCAGTGCGTTTTTCTTTCATTTCAGGCGCTGGTCCCATTTGGTGGCCAGACCTGTGAGCACCGGCCTAGGCAGTTGACCTGAGCATTTACAGTATCCATGGGCTTGAATGGAATGGTTGGTCCAGAGTAGGGAGTACTCAGGTTCTAGACTTCTAGGTATATATATTAATATTATTATGATTTAATATGTTCTTCGCCCTCACAGACCAGGTTCTTTGAACATGGACCATTTGATTGCAAGTTGAAGCCAACTCCTCTACAAACCACTTCACAGGGAAAAGACAAAACGTGCCACGCGGCTGTCTTATCTGCGGAGCTGGGCGCTGCGGACCATGCGGATTGCTGTGGCGCAAGGCCATGAGGACTGTGGCAGGGGAAAAGCGAAAGGCCATGGATACTGCAACTTCCCATCACGCAGTATACCTGTAGGTCCAGTGATTAAGTCTTCCACTCATTCTAGTGCGTGTTCGACGGTAGCCAAACCTCCTCTTCTTGGAAATACCTCAGAAATCCAACCTACCAAATGAATGATGCTAGCCCACAGGCTCTCGGGAGGGCATCAGAATTGACAAGGTTCGAATGTGGTTGCCGATGGTTCGTTGCAAGAATCTTGCCAAGTGTGAAGCTGAGTGGTGCGACGTCTTGAAGCGCTTGTGTGGTCATTCGAGGCGACTTCTGCAAGCGTGAACACTTCGTTTGCGCTCGTGGCGGTCCTTTTTCTGCTAGACCTGAACGGACCTGAAGATAATTAGAGGTCAGAACGTGTTCAATTCAAGCAAAGCAGGCAAAGCCTGAATGGCATCTTGGACACCAAACCCTTCTTGAACCGGTTCCTCCTTCCCTTCATCACATGACGAAGGAGGCATAAATCGGCCGCAATATTAACCTATCAAAATGGGTGGAAGGCTTCTAAGACTTCAGCTGGCAGGTGTTCATTCAGCAAGTGTTGCATGCAATGGTTCTTGTGCAGCTTGCGCTCACACGCCAGTGTTGCAGTGTTGTAGGCGATCAAATCCTGAGTTCAACAATTCCCGCTCCAGTAGTTACGTCCTGACACCATTCAGCCACTGCCATAGAGCGCTAGTCGACCGAGTGGCAAGTCAAAAAAAAGCTGTGCAATCTGCAAACACCTTCAGAAGCCAAAGTAATGTCTATTGTTGTGCAAAAAATGTTCCAACAAAGTTCACGAACTTGGTGAAGGAACTACGGACCTGAGGCCTTGGTAGAGCAAAAGAGCCTTCCAAAAGGGCCTTGGTAGAGCTCTTTATGTAATTGAAACAGTGAAAATACTCATCTCTTCCAAGGCCCTCATTCCGATGAACTGCGGCCCGGGTTCTACTCCAACATGAGAAGCGTTCATCTCCTCCAACAATGCCCTGGGCGCACGGCCACGACGCGGAATTGGTTCAACTCAGTGCGGAAGAGAACTGTGCTGGTTTAGCGTAGTTGCCGGGGTTACGGGGTTAATCCGATGCATCTGCGCGGAAAAAACGGTAAAAATCAAAAACATGTTATTGTTTCCCGTTTTCCCCAGGGGGGCACCCCTTTTTCGTCTGTCATATCCGCGGTAAAAACGGTATTTGTTTTTACCGTGTTTACCGCAGGGGCACCCCTTTTTTAGCATATCTGCGGTTAAAACGGTAAACATCGAAAAAAACAAATTACCGTTTTTACCGGGGGGCGCTCCTTTTGTTCTAGGCGTCCCTTTTTCATTAATACCATTTTGCTGTTTCCGTTTTCACGGGGGGTACGGCCCTTTTCTTTTACCATATCCGCGGTAAAAACGGCAAACATCGATTCTGTTTTACCGTTTTTACCGGGGGCGCTTCCTTTTTCAATACCATATCCGCGATCAAAAGGGTAAAATCAATGTTTGTTATTCTTTTTGTACCGTTATGATCCAGGGGGGCAAACGGGTCTATGTTTCTTTTTCAGTTTTTAACGGAGGGTCACCGCTGTTTCTTCTGCCATATCCGCGGTAGGTAAAAATCGAAAGTGTTCGATCCAAGTGATGTAGGCTTTCATTGCCCTGCAAAAGTTAAAAGTCATGAAATGTTGATCAATCACCAAACTCCTCTTGTCGAAAAGGGCACACGCTCCTATATGATAGGAGGAGTGAACCCCACCTGATTATAGGAAGATACCCGGGCTGTAACATTAAACCTTTTTGTTGACAAAGGTCTTCTAGCTTGCGACCTGGTCCCGAGGCATTGTCGCGGTAAAAACGGTCCAAAGTGAAAATTATTACTTTTGTTGTTTACCTTTTTTAATGAAGAGTCGCTTGCTCTTTTTGCTTCTACCATATCGTTAAAAATCAAAGTTGTGTTATGTTCCGTTTGTGTAGGTGGACTTGTCCTTTTCTTTTCTACAAAAGACCCGTGGCAAAAACAGGAAAACCGTGTTTTTTGTTTTATTTTTTTTACTGGGGGCGCTCCATGTTTAGACTTCATATCCGCGGTAAAAACGGAAAAAATCAAAAAGTTTCTTGTTTTACCGTTTTTACCGGGGGGGCGCCCCTTTTTCTCTACCATGGGGCGCCCCTTTTTCTTCTACTATATCCGCGGTAAAAACAGTGAAAATTGATTGTTTTGTTGTTTACTTTTTTTCCTGCGGGGTCGCGAAAGGATACCCCTGAGCAAAACAACGCTCGCGAACCAGCTTGGAGAACAGCCTTTAGCCCTATCAAATGACCGAACTTGCCTGGATACCTGATGACGGAAGTGAACCACAACCAAAGTATTCCATCATGACAACCACATGAAAACAAAAAAAGGAAACAATCAATAACTGGGTCATTCTTGGCCAGTCAGGGCTGTCCCCCACATATTGCGATATATGTATATCCTGTGTTCGGAGGGCAAACATCTCCTTTCCAGTCCTCCGGCAGAACTCTTCAGCCCAAGTGGCAGAACCAGCTCCCAGTGGCCACCACGCTCGGCGGCCTTCATGGTGCTGTTGTAAGTGATGTCGTTGGCCACGCACCTGAAAGCCAAAGCCGCTGAAAGCAAATCAGATGGCACAAAGTGCTCATCAATGAAATGATCTGTTAGAATCTGTTAATATAGGTCAGCTGCCACTGGGCTGGCAACGGTCTCCACATCAAGTGGAATGGTTATGGCTATTGCCCCTTCGACTTCTTAGCTTCGATGCCTCGCCGTTCCAACCTGAAGTCACAGCCACTCCATCCATTGAATGCGATGACTGTTCGAAAGTCGCCTCCATGTGGGCATGTCGCGAAGCAACTGCAGTGCTGCAGCCCAAGAGCTACCCTTCTCCTGGTCGACTCGTGCTGAACCGGCGTTCAGCTAGCAGTAACCAGTATTGCTTCGAGGTTGTGCGCATTTCCCAGGAACAACATATACAGTACAGAACAGTAGCATGTCAAACATATTGTTAGCCAAGACTGATACCTATCGTTGATCACTATCTGGTTGAACAAATCCCGGAAGCCTACGAATCGGTGTACATCATGTGAGGAGCGGCGTACATCGCACCCGAAAGATCTGGTCGGAGAGGTTCCACCACACATCCGAAAGCAACAAAAAAACATCATCACCTTGGAACACACAGCCAAAAAACCCTCTCAGAGACCATGTACTTATAAAAATAAACATATGTGTACTACACATAGAGAGACCCTAGGATCCAAGTACATTCTCAGAAGGTACTTGGACCCTCAAAACCTACATGAGACTGTCTCCGATCACCTTCTGAGAAGGTACTTGGATCCCTAGGGAGGGAATGAGAGTGAGAGTGAGAGGTATGGAATGCCGGAGTTTCTGAGCAAATCTAGGACAAACTGAAAGCTTAAGGGGTCTCCGATGTTCTAGAAGCAACATGGTGCATTTAGATGTGCAACTGCAAGCAAGCTGCACAAGCACTGATGGCACTGCTGATTCCAATGACGCTACGGCGGAGTCGCAAGCTGCACATCCTTTGTGCTGGGCGGCTTTCAGGGCTGCACGATTTCTTCCCCAGCCATCTGGATTAATATATCTGGAGCCCACCCAAAAATAGACTGAGGAGGCTGAATGGAGAACAACCGAGGCACTTCGTTGAGGATCCCCATTGGTGTGGGGCATACATGCAGTTGATCAACACCTCCAGGATTTGGGGGCGATGCTCCAAGAAAAGGCACGTGCACTATTGTGCACTGAAGGGGACACATGCTTAAAGCACAATGAACATCCTCCCGGCTGCTTGCACATTTAGAATATTTAGACACCGAAGCCATGTCAATTGGCTAGGAGAACCCCAGGAGTTGTCAATCAACCCGCCAAGCTCGGGTTGAAGTCGAGGAAAACCGAGTTAAACCCAAAAGTTGCATCAATCCCAGGTGGTCAATCCTTTGTCGGGGATCACCGAACGAACAACCATTTTGAGGGCCAAGTGCGGGTTACAGCCACTCGTTTACATCTCTTCACTACCTTGCAAGTAGTTCTGGTCACGCGTCTGTGATCGGGGAAAGGATCATAGTGCAGTCACCGGACCCACCTGACAGCTGCGAAACAAGATTCCGCACCGTCAACAGGTGGAGCGCAGCCTCCCAATCTCCGGATTCCTGTGATGAGTGGTCGCTCGTGGTGAACCACCACGGGTGGAGCAAAACGGACTCTCATGGAAAACATGCGAGCAAAGTTTTTAGAAGTGTGTGTGCACCCAAAATTGAACATTGTGAACGGAGGGAATGAAAGCATGCCGTATATTAG